ATAGGGAGGTTCTAAAATTGCCCAATGCTCAACTATTGAACATTGTCACCTTTAGTCCCTGGAGTTTCAATTAATTCCTTTAATCCCAAAATTAATTCCAAATTAATTCTGATTAAATATTAATTAAACAATATGATTTCTAATTAATATATTATTTCCATAATACATTAATAAATCATTTATTTTGATTTCTAATTAATTTATTAACCAAGTAATAAATTAATAAATCATTTTTCTCTCTCTAAAAGTTATCCTATTCAATTGTCAGGTTTGAAGGCAACCCAAAAGGATTGTGCTACTATCAATTCAAGTTTATACCAATTATAGTTATGGGCTTAGACACCTAATCCAACAAGAATAACGGGAATGGGTAATCAGGTTAATTGTTTGATGTGAAGTATATAATTAAAAATAATAATTATATTATTATGGGTTGAAAACTTTATGTACTAACCAAGCTTCCTAGCCTGATCCACTCAGTTTCTTTGTATCACAGGCAGCGGTATGAAGGTACATGGATAGCGATGTTTGGTGATAGATTTGAGGAGATGTAGTCCATTAGTATAATAAGATGATGTAAGGCCTGTTAAGACAATTTTATGCTTATGTTTTGTATCAGTTATGACATCCTAAGTTTTTATATATTAATGAAAAACTGTTTTGATTAAAACAATGTGTTGGGACAGATTCCGCACTAACAAAAAAATACTATGTTTTAAATAAGCATAAATAAAAAGTTTTAATTGGTTGTAAAAATAGGGATGTCACAGTTGGTATCAGAGCATTATTTTAAGCGAACTAGGAATTAGGATGATTTCTCTACTTTAACTTAAAATGCTAAGTGATGATCATGAGATGTGTGTCTATGTTATTAGGTAGTGTACCTGAATTAACATAATCACTAGCTTACTTTAGGATAAGATGTCTAATTTGCTATTATGTGCTAAAAGAGTTATATTATACCATGCCTTAGGTTGCTTACCTAAACTTTTATTACGTGAATTGATTTAAGGTATGTTGCCGACCTTGATTTGGAAACTTTATGTGTTCAAGATTCTAAGCGTATAAATTAATTTACTCGAACTTACATATAACTTTTCGGAGTGATAAGGAAAATTATGCATTTAAACATAACTAAAACTTTGCCTATCATAAAATACTTGCGTTCTAGTACACTGAACGACTAATTTTGTGTGCAGAATGTCATGGTGAGAACTCGCAGTGGATTAGGAAACGGTAACGGAAATCAACAACCTAAACCTTGAGGCGCGATCGAGCGTGCACCAGAAGTTGTGCCAGCAGCTGAACCGATCACGATAGCAGAAGTTCAAGCCATGATTAGGGCTATGCTAGTTGAGCAAATGGAAGAGACTAGACAACTACTCCAAGGGAATAGGAGATAAGTCACTGCACCGTTTGATAAAATAGTATTAAATGAGGGATAGTCCGAAGAAGGAAGCTATAGTAGGACTATGAACAAATCAGAACCGCAAAGAGTTAGGAGGAACAACCCTGACGAAGGGATTGAAAGAAATGGATGTAAGTATAAGGACTGTTAAGACACGCTTCTTTAGCACAGGCCACGGAGTGAAGTTGGAAGGTTCAATGAACTACGCGAAGGGGAAATCTTGGGCGCTTCGGGTTCTTAAGAAGAAAAAGAAGATCCCGGAGTTCTCTTTCTAGGTTGAGGAGATTGCTTTTACTTTCTTGTTAAACCTACCCGAAAGAGAGTGAGTGGTGGATTCTGAAAATCGGATTATTGAGTTCGCCTGGACTACGCTGGCTTTGGGGATGCCAGGCTTGATGCTTCAAGAAAGTTCCAAACCAATCTCTGGCACTTGGTAAAGATTTGTGATTTCAAACCACCAAGTATTTCTAGAAGCCCAACACCTGTGGAAGTCATAGACTGGATCTCTGAGATGGAAATGGTGTTCGATAGTTATGACTGCTGGGACCGAAAGAAGACCATCTTAGTAGTTAGACAACTAAAGACTAGTGTGTTAAGTTGGTGGAAGATGTTGGCTGATTCAATGCCAATGGGAGAAGCAAGGAAGATGTCATCGGAGAACTTCCTTGAATAGTTGAAAATGCAATACTGCTCAGAATCGATCTTTTGGAGATAAAAAATGAATTCTAGAATGTAAAGAAAGGAAAGATGAGTGTTAGTGAGTATGTTGCAACTTTTACTGAGAATATGAAGCTAGTTCCTTATTTGGTTCCTATCGAAATTTCCAAAGTAAAAACGTTTTCTAGTGGACTACCAGCGGATTTTGGTCCAACGGAGAAGCTAGTAACCATTTTGAAAGTAGCCCTCTGGGCGCCCAGGAATGTAGAGGCCCAGATAAGGAAGAAGGGTCTAGAGAGAGCCAAAACTGGAGAGAAAAGTAAGTTTTAAGGATCTTCAAGGTTCGATAAGAAGAGTAAATTCTCAAAGTATGACACCAACGACAAGAGTCTGGGGGTAACAATGAAGTCATGTGGTATGAAAAGTGCAAGACTAAGCACTTTGGGGAGATGTGATGGAAAAGTGACATGCTACAAGTGTGGAAGGGTTGTCCAATATTCCAAAGATTGTGCATTCAATGATAGGGTATGTTATGGATGTGGAGATAATGGGCCTATTTCAAAGGACTTCCAAAAGAAGAAAGAAGATGCAAAGACAAACGTGCAGCCAAAAGCAAAAGCCCGAGCATTCCATATGATCCTTGATGAAGCAGGTGTCGCTGCAGCAGATCAAGAGTAGAATGTTGCTTATCCAGAGTTCAAGATGTGAAATGGTCATCCCACATAGATAAGATTATAGTATGTAAGTAATGTAAGAGGCATAGAGTATGGTGTACTTTGGATAAGTATTGTAACCATTTTCTGAAGTTATAAAATCCCTAATTATGTTATACTATCCAACGTGTTAAGTTGCTATGTGATTTTTCTTGTATGGTGACTTGGAAAACTGCGAGACAATTCTTGGGACAAGTATGAATAGGTGTGAAAGGTAGTAGAGGCCTATACTACCCGAAGCATAAGACTTGCACTTGGATCAGGAAGAGTCACAAGGTTATTAAGACACTAGTAGTTGAGTTCATTTTTCTAAATTACGTCCATCGTTTGACGATAAGAAAAAGAATGTTATTCCGACCCCAGTGGTCATAACGAATCGAGTCTAATTAAGATATACTCCCTCCGTCCCAAATTAATTGTCCACTTTTTGACTTTTGAAGTCTTTTTTTTCAACTTTGACCTTAAATATTTTTATTTGTGTTATATATTACATGATGAAACTTATAACAATGAAAAGATATTTAAAATACAATCCATTCTTATATATTGCATCAAGTATTATCTATCAAAAAAAATATTTAAGGTCAAAGTTGAAGAATAAAGACTTCAAAAGTCAAACGTGGACAATTAATTTGGGACGGAGGTAGTATTTGCGAAGTAAGTTACTCGATTCAAAGAACCATGTTCGATGTTGTATCTGACTTTAGTCAAAAGATTGATGGAAAAGAAAATCGAAGCGATCGGTAGAAATGTTTCAATCGTCGTTAAAGACCTATAGTTAGAAGTCCTACCTGCTATGATGTGATTATATCACATTAGAACATAAAGGAAGGTGACTTCAATGCTAGATTTTGACTCATAGAGACCTGAGTCTAACCATTGAAACATGCGATGGAAATTCATTAGAGTATGACCATTCGGTATGTCACGATAGCCGAAGTAAAGACCTTATCATGGGTTGAGTATGTTTGAAAAGGAGCAGGATTGTCTGATGAAGGTCGAGTTTTTCACTCAGAGATTAAGACTGAAGGTCCAACATAGAATGAAGAGCGGGTGCAAGTTTTGAGCACCACCAGCATCTAAGAAGTCCAAGATCTTGATGAGGAAGGCATAGGAGTTACGGTTATTGCTTAGGATGGAAATGTGTCTTGCAGGATCATCATCCAACGTTGTTTTGCTGATGATTTCGGGAAGTAATCATCTTAAGGGGGGATAATTGTAGCACCCGTAAGTTAGGGCTAGATGTGTAACATCCCCCTCCGGCACGTATCACAATATTGTCCGCTTGGGGCTCCCGGCATGAAAACTTCCCAGGGGGGTCACCGATCCTGGAATTGTTCGCACGCTTAACTGCAGAGTTCTTATGGGATTTGCTGCCCTCACGTCTTTAAAACGTGTTGTGACAAGGAAGGTATCCACATCCCTTATAAGGAAATGTTTCGTTCTCCTTCCAAGCCGATGTGGGATCAGGTGCAACCCACCTTCACCCCCCCCCCCCCATTATAGGTTTCGATGTCCCCATCGAACACATCGACCCGTTCTCTATCTCTAATACCATTTGTAACATCACCATCTGGAACGTAACACAATATTTTTCCGCTTTGGGCTCCCGGCATGAAAACTTCCCAAGGGGTCACCCATCGTGGAATTACTCTCACTCGGGCACGCTTAACTGCAGAGTTCTTTTGGGATCTTCTGCCCTCATGAATTTAAAACGTATTATGACAAGGAAGGTATTCACACCCTTTATAAGGAAATGTTTCGTTCTCCTACCAAACCGATGTAGGATCAGGTGCAACCCACCTTCTGTGAAAGATTTCGCACTAATAAAAAAATACTTTGTTTTAAATAAACATAAAGAAAAATTTTACTCTAGTTTTCTTATCTGAGTTGGAGGCTTCCAGAACCCTTCATTAGGGTTCCCAGAACCATCCACCTCTAGGAAGTTTATGAATCCTCTCATTTGCTCAACTATTAAACAATTACAGCTCAGTCCCAATACCTCTAATTAATTCTAGTTAACCCAGAATTAATTCCAAATTAATTATTAATTAAATATCACTATTTCCAATTAATATATTAATTATATAATATGTTAATAAATCATTTATCTCTCTTATAATCAATTCAAACTATTTCCTAGTTATAAGGGCAACCCAAAAAGTACTTCACTTTTATTTTTTAAGATTATAACAATTTAGTTAAGAACTTAGACATTAAATCCAACACACAACATATTATTAAAAAGCCCTCTTGTTCTATTTTCGTTGCTGATATGGTGTTGTTCCTCTACCAACAAAATAGCTAACTCTCATAATAAAGTTCATGAATTTAGAGCAAACATCTCCTTAGTTCTGGGAGAGCATGATTTGCAACAAGTTTATATCCTTCATCTGTTAGATGGATACTGTCCCAAAATAAGAATGTTGAGTCATTATGACATAGTGGGCTAAGTTTGTTACAAAGAACCACTGTCTCGAACAACCCTGTTCCACAACAAGACTTATCTACAACTCTGAAGCCTGAGAAAAAATCGTTTAGATGAAGATGTTAATGGGCATCATCTTCCTTAAATTTATGTCATACAATATAAACCAAAACAATATACGAATATGTTGATTATGGACAATCTTTATATATGAAATATAATTAATGTCGTCTCCATCATTTAGGCAGGAGAAATTTTCACTTTAAGTGAAAATATAATTCACATTGTTGTTGGTTAGTTGGTTATCCCTACGATCTGGAATAAACAAATAATGAGTATATTTAACGTCAATATGTGATATAAATTTCATCAAATTTTGGAGAACAATAAGTTTTCAAGAATCACTACAAATTATAGTTTCCGGTGTTGAAAAGTAATATTGAATATAATGCATACCATATTGGAGATGGTTTACGATGAGCTCTCTTGAAATATTGAAGTAATCAACATAGCAAAAAGTGGACTGTGGCAAACTGCTTTGAAGATATTCAAGCTCACTTTTTAGCATTTTGTTGAAGGTTTCTGCTTCTTTATTCAACATGTCACTACAAGTAATAAGTCCTCCCAAGAAAGTTCTTGCTAGTGGAAAACAACCAATATATGGTGTGCCGAAGACAACTATTTTCCTTGCTCCCAGTTTGTATAATTCCTTAAGTATATTTATTGCAATATTCAGATGTAAGTGAATTTAAACAGAAAACAACGAAGTCAAAAATTTATAACTAAATTTAGTTTATGTATTGGTTTTAAAACAAAAAATATACTTTTATTTAACTATATACAACTCTTTTAGAATTTTATAGAAGCCATGAAAACTTTTAATATATTTTCTTTCTTAAAAATATGTTGATATGAAATTTTAAACACCAAAGGAAAAACTAGTAAGGATATTTGAGCATTTTCAATAACTAAATATGATATAAAAATATATGGGTGACATAAAACCAACACATAGGATTACCTCAAAAAAGACTCTAGCATTGTTTGCTAATAGATAAGCATAACCAGTCACATTGTATTGTAATCGTCTAATTGGAACTACAGTGTAACTTATTGCCCAATCATTAGAGCTTGATGATACCAAATACACACCCTTTTTTATCATTTGGTTTGCTTCTTCTTCTCCCACAATCTCATTAAACTTCCCAATGTATTCTTTGAACATCTCCAACTGAACCGATAATGGTATGACATTCTACTTGTCGTATACCCAGGAAAATAGAAAACAAATTAGACATGAATGATATTTATTTCGAATTTAAATAAAAAGGCAAAAATCAAGAGGTTTAATATAAAATAAGGTATGAATACCACTATTTCGGATGTTATGTTATCATAGCCAGAGCCACCAGAAGCAAAAGATACACCTGAAATAAGATCGTTGTCTTGTATGGAAGTGTCTAAATACGCTGGAAGGTATTCCTTCACTCCTAAATTACCAGCTTCAAATTTGGTATCAAAAGATTACAACTTTTAGTATTAGAAATGATTTTTAACTACAACATGCAATATACAACACTTTGATCCCCTTAGATTCTCGCATTGTAACTCTTTACTTTTTAACTAATAGAAGCAGTGATTCTAATATATATATATATATATATATATATATATATATATATATATATATATGGGTGTGTGTGTGTGTGATTAGCTTTGGGTCATGTCACTTTCACGAATATAATGTTAGTGCTTATCACCACGTTCTATCATAAAACTTTAATATTGAGTTGTATTTTTTGTATGTAATTGCATCTGCTGTGTTGTCTATTCTGCATTTCTTTTAATGAAGGCTATTATACACCTTCCTCTACAGAATCGCTACTCCCAACATCATATAGATATATAATATATATATATATATATATATATATATATATATATATATATATTATATATATATATATATATATAGAGAGAGAGAGAGAGAGAAGTCAATAAAAAAACAATTATCAATCAAGTAATCAAGGCACCAATCTTGAACGTCGAAATATAAAGCGGTGGAATGCCAAAATATAGGTTGTAGATTTGTATATTGGACGTTCATGAAACAGATTATGCAAAAAAAATCACTTAGTTTTTTTTTATTACCTTATAAATTGAAGGTATCATTCTACAAATAATACAAACGTACAAACTTGACTACATTATTAACCAAATGTGACATTCGACAAATAATAACCAAAATAAGAGCTAGATCAGTGGCGGAGAGAATAGAGGGGTTGCCGAATGCTTTGCCCCCCTTGATCTCTTTGAAAGTTCTGATATATTATATATAAAATGAGCCCATATCTATTACTTATTAATAATGAGCCCCTCCCAATTATTAAAAAGTAAATGATTATCATATATAAATAAAGTTGACGGTAAGAATTGTACACGTCTTACTTAAAGATCATTGCCTCCACCCTTATTTCGTATATTTTAATTGGTCCGTGATTATATGCCTATTTATTCATTATATGCCTATTTATTTTATTTTGTCACTATCATTTCGTTGCAAATAGATTTTATAATTGACGATTAACTAAGATTGTCCAACATTATGTTTTAAGAAACTGTTCTTAGATTCACAACTACATCTACATGATTTCAATACTTTAAATAAATTTTAATTCTTATTACATATATTATTTTTTATAACTTGTAAATAATAATTTAATTATTATTGATAATTTGGTTTATTATAATTACAGGGTAAATAATGAATAAAAAACAAGCATCCCATCGATTCTTTTGTATTACACACAATTGTATCCGATTAGTGATACTAATAAAAATCGATACGTTCCTATATATATCTAGACAATTTTTTTCTTATTAATTTCTTTGTGAATTTTACAAGCTCTATTATGATATTTTGATATAAAAAATATTTTAAATTTTTATTAAGATATAAGTCCGTTATTCCAAAATCCTAGCTCCGCCGCCCCTGAGCTAGATTATTAGATAAAGATTCTATTAGAACAACTATTTGGATTAATTGATTAGTAACTGTTAGAAACAAGAAAATTCACCATAATATATTGAGACGTATTGGTCTATTTTCAAAGATATAGTCTTTATGATTAATCATGTCGATTTGTCATCTTGACCATTTTTGGGTCACGTCACTTCACGAAAAAGGTGAGTGTTTATCATCACGTTCAATTAAAAACATTTAAACTTGAGTTGCATTGTCTATATTAAATTGCATCTATTTTGTTGTTTATTCTGAATTTCTTTAAAGGAAGGCTATTATACACCTCCCACTATAACAATCGTTACTCAAACCTTATATATATATATATATATATATATATATATATATATATTATATATATATAATATATATATATCTATATATATATATATATATATATAGAGAGAGAGAGAGAGAGAGAGTATATTATCAATCAAGAAACCAATGATCCAATTCTGATTTTTTACATTGGACATGCATGCACCAGATTTTGATCGTAGATTTTTAAATTGGACATTAATGCACCGGATTATACGAAAAAAATCAATTTGTTTGTTTGTTTTTTTTAGGTTATGATAAAATAAATAAATATACAAATATTTACAATTTTTCGTCTTTTTTAAATAGAGATCTATTTTGATATATAAAAAAAAATATTTCTTATTTTTTGATTCATTTGTAGAACAGTTCTATTCAGATTTTCTTATGACTCTGAACTGTATTAAATATTTATTAAAGATAATTCACATATAAATAGTTATTGTATTTGTTTTTTTAACAATTATTGATACTTTTTGTGTGGTTATATTCTATGTAAATGACCATCATGTATAAAAATTGTTTATCGATTTCTTAGTTCATATTTACATTTTGATAATGTATGTGAATTAAAAATATCTATGTGAATGATCGTTAAAATAGATATATCAATTTTATATGTGAATTCGAACAAAAATTCACATTCACGTGTAAATCTAACATAATTGAATGTCAATTTACATAAATTTACTTGATTTTTTGACGATTTCAATCTTCTGATCATAAAAAAATAAATTAACTAAGAATCATAAGTGCATTTATTGAAATTCACAAATAAATGATAAAGAAACGGTGGAAAAATCGGTTACAATAAACATTCACATGTGAATGTTTTATAAAAGTTCAATCTAGTTAAAGATTCACATGAAAATCTAAACTGAAAGTTTGAAAAAAAAAAGCCGATTTTTTATATATCGATATGAATGTTTATATAAATAGTAACACAAATTATGAATTTTAATTTATTTATTTGTTCCGATAAAAAATAAACCCAAACAAATAAAAAAACAAAGAAAACAAAATATTTTTTTAATCCATTTTCTATACATCGGTATCAATTTCTAATGAAATAGGAAGAAAAATCATGAATTTTGAAATATTCATTTTTTATATAAAAAGCATGACTTATAAATAAAAAATAACAAAAAAACGAAATGGGTTTTTAGCTATGTTCTAGTGCATGCGCGTTCAAATAAAAAATATACAACCATTCTCATGGTCGTTGATCTTTTGGATTACCGACACTTACGATTGGTTTCTTGGTTCCTTTATAATAATGGTTATCTATTAACTAACACACACACACACACACACACACACACACACATATATATATATATATATATATATATATATATATATTATATATATATATATATATATATATATATATATATATATATGATCAAGTAGGAACTCAAAAAATGGTAGGACCGTGACGATAATTTTTCGCCTTAAGATTGAAAAAATAAATGGTCAAGATTTGATTGTATTTATCATCAAAATCTCACGAGATGATATAACATTTTGGTAATTAATTGCGAGACTTTTATAATTTCAGGGGAAGGTTAATTGTTTGGATGGTAGAAGTGATAAAAGAAAAAAAAATCGGCCCATGTAGCCTCTTCAAGCGTTGACACGTACCCCCACCTCAACATGACAAGTGTCCAGCCTTTATTGGTTGGTGGGTTTTTTTCCACCTGCTTAATTTTTCGGCCACAAATTTTTTTTTTTTAAAAAAAATTATGAAAAAACCAAGGTTCTTAAAATTTAATTCTCTACAAAATGATCCGGCGATTTCGGTGATTCAAACTAGTGCAGTCGCCGGCGGGATCAAACGCCGGTGAATCCTCGATTTCCTCTGCAACATGGGAGCAAATTCTTGGACAACAGTCAGTTATTGCAATCGGAACGTCAATGTGCATGGCAATCGTAGGGATCATCAAAGCAGTCAAGAACCAAAAACTAATTACGTAAGGTCAGATACATTCTCCCTCTTTATCACTAATTTTTCGGATTCAGTTCAAGCAGAAGACATTCAAAGGGTATGTGGTCGAGCATGTAGTCGCTTAGGTAAAATTGTTGGAGTGTTTATCGCTAAAAAACTATCAAAATTGGGGAAACGATTTGGCTTTATTCGATTTTCAGGCGATGATAATTGTGACTCTCTGATAAAACAGCTCCGTGAAGTATGGTTTGGATCATATAAATTGTTTGCCTCCCTCCTTCGTTCCCTGGGAAATAACTATCGATCCCCCCAACCTGTTGGACTCTCCACAGCAGCCCATTGTTATGAGAATGTAAAATCCTATGCAAATGTCGTCCGAGGCCACCCTAATAATACAAGAAACAACACTAATACGGAGGAGCTCATTGATCTTCCTTCTGGCGACTACATAGTTGAAAACAGACAAAGGGCTTGCCTTGTTAAGGCAAGAGATTTTATCACACTTCCCAATCTCCGGGTGTTATGTTTGGACGAGGGATTCGATAACTTTGAGATGAAATATGTTGGAGGTCTGTGGGTGCTAATCGAATTCAACTCAAATAATGCATGTAAAAACTTTATGAATAGTGAAGCTATGGATCATTGGCTTTTAGAAAAGAGAGCTTGGGATCGAAATTTTATTCCCCCAGAACGTTTAGTATGGGTGGATGTTGAAGGAGTCCCTTTATCTACTTGGATTAAAGAGTCATTTAGAAAAGTCCTCTCTGAATGGGGAACAATAGTACAGTTAGATGATAACCTGGGAGAAGATATTTACAAGAATAGGATCTGCATACTTACAACTATCCAATCTATCATTTCAGAAGTGATCAAAGTACGTGTTGCTGGGATTATACATTGGATTAGAGTCAAAGAAGCTCCGGGGTGGACCCCAACCTTTGTTCATGATTTCCCAGCTCAAGACTTGGTCGAGAGTGAAATACAAAAATCTGAACAAAATGAAGAAAGGAATGATGAGGTTTCATTGGATCCCTTTGGTATTTATGATGCTATTGAAAAAATGAAAAAAGATGAGGTCAATAATGATATTAATAAAGGATTTAACTGCTGGGGTAATAGCAAAAAATACAATAATAATAGAGAGAAACCTCAGGGGAAAAACGGGAATTCAGTAATGAAATTTTTTTCTCATGATGCTCCTGCTGATCGATGTGCTTTAAGCTCCCCTGCTGCTTCACAGATTCGTCCATCTGCTGCCCCCAGACCTGCTGTCCAACCCCCAGCCAGTGCACCAACTGATCCGGTCCCTGATGCTGTTATGAATGTCGCTACTGTACAACCCGCAGCAGCTGAAGAACCTGCTGCAACAACTGACTCGCAATCAGCATTGCCTGCTCACACTGTTCCTGTTCATTCTGTTAATCCTAGACCTCTTCAAGTTGAAAAAGAAAACTCAAACAAACAAGCTCTGGTTGGTTTCTCAGG